CACTTGAATGTAAGACCCATTAGGGCAGGGACCTTTTTGGTGTTCAATTGCTGAATGAATAATTGAAGTTGGTTACTATTTGCTGAATGAATGACACTGGATGACTTGACAAATTCACTGAGGATTCACACCCAGGTCTGTTTTCTTCCAAAGTTCATGATCTTTCTTTGGATAGGGATGTGCTTCTGCTTTTGACAAGTTGCACTTTGCCAAACTGCTTGTAGCTCTTTGTTTAACCTTTTAAAAAGGTTAAATTTAATCTTAATTAATTTTAAAATTAATCTTGTTTTACTTCCCTCCCCACTTAGTCATTCCACTTCTGGTAAGAACTTTCTCTTTTCAACACCTCTAGAATAGTTGACCCCTAGGTTCTTTTAGAATCTCAGTCATTATCGACACATGTCAGTTCTTGCTATTACATCTCCAGCTTCTTTTCTGAGCTCATGGCCCTGCCTTAGTGCCTGCACGTATCAACTGTGGATTGCAGTGGCCTCCCCTGCAAGTTCTCTCCTGTGAAATCCATCATCTGTGTTATAGTCAGAGTTCCACTAAAACTGCACATTGTAGCCCTAACTGGTTTGGCTCAGTGGATAGAGCGTTGGCCTGCAGACCGAAGGGTCTCAGGTTCGGTTCCTGTCAGGGGCATGTACTTTGGTTGCAGGCACATCCCCAGTGGGGGGCATGGAAGAGGCAGCTGAATCGATGTTTCTCTCTCATCGATGTTTCTAACTCTGTATCCCTCTACCTCTCCCTTCCTCTCTGTAAAAAATCAATAAAATATATTAAAAAAATTAAACACTGCACATTGTATCAGGAAGGTTAGATTACTTTTGGGGGCAGTTACAAACAATCACTAAGCACCAGTCTTACAGTAACAAGACATTTTTTCTCCATTTATGCAACATGCTCATCACAGGATGTAGGGAGATGGGAACGGTGAGGAGCTCTGCTTATTATAGCCTCTCAGGAACCTCCTGGAAAGTCTCACTCAACGTGCTCTTCTCTCATCACCTCAGAAGGGGAAGAGAATGTGCCAAGTCAAAAACTGCTCTAAAAGCCTTCATGTGGATGTGACACATACTACTTCCCTTCACATTTTATTGGCCAAAGTGGGCATGCTTCATTTTGCAAGTGGCAGGAAAATGAAATCTACCACATTCCTGGAAAGAGCTGGAAATATTTGGTGATCGTTAGTAACGCCCATCACATACATCCTGCCACTTGCTTATTTTAAAGCTTGTAGAGCTCTTCTTTGCCTTTACAGCTATTTTTTACACTTTCTAGAATAGAGTGGCCCAAAATCAACTTCTAAAAGCTCTCCTGTTTCTCCCCATACTTCCTAGGTTCACTCTGTACACTTTCTTAATTCATGCCTTTGTACTTGCTGTTCCCTCCACTTCAGCTACCTCCCCTGTAGTCTGTATGGTGTAATTAACCTGTATTTTCAGATCTCAGTCAAAGATCAAAGGTCCTGGTCTCTGGGAAGACCTTTGTCCAAACCTTTATTATATAGCACAGAAACTGTCACGTATTTTACTTTTCTGGGTTACAAGGCCTTTAAGGGAAGAAACAGATTATTTTTTTTAACATAACTGAGACATTAAAAAAATAAATTGATTGAGTTATAATTTATGTGCAAAAACCAGCACCCATTTAAAGAATTTTGTAGATGCATTGACTCTGTGAAGCCAATACCACAGTCATGATGCAGATCATCCTATCACTCCCAAAAGTTGCTGCCTGCCCCTTTGCAGTCATCCCTCTGTCCATCCCATTCCCAGGCAACCACTGATTTCTTTTCATCTTTGTAGAGTAGTAGGAATTTTCTAGAATTTTATGTAAATGGAATCACCTAGTACGTACTCTGTTGTGTT